CTTCAAGGTGGGTCCCAGCGAGAGTTTCCAAAAGCATCAACTTCTATCCCTTGTACACAGGATCCCCAAGCACCCAACAAACGCCAGTCCACAGAGTCACCCATCAGTGAGGAGGAGCTGGCAGTGCCCATGAAAATCTCACCGGCTATGTCTGCCTCCACGTCCAGCGAGAAGCCGATTAGCGAGCTGGCCGCCTCGGTGTTGACCCATCGCTTCCCCGAGACGAGCTCGACGGCGGGCGAGCACGGCCTTGGACGCATTCAGATGTCCATACGGTACAGTGCCCAGAGGCAGAAGCTCGACGTGACCCTGCACAAGATCGTGAAGATACCGCTGCGGGACCCCAGCAACATACCCGATCCGTATGTGAAGCTGTATCTGCTGCCGGGACGCACCAAGGAGTCGAAACGGAAGACGGGCGTGATCAAGGACAATTGCAATCCTGTTTACGATGCCTCATTCGAGTACCTGATTTCAATAGCAGAGCTCAGGCAGACGGAGCTCGAGGTGACGGTCTGCACACAGAAGGGTTTTCTGTCCGGCAGCAGTCCCATCATTGGCATGGTAAGAACCCCTAACAACAACCCCTAATGGAACCACCCCGAACTGCATTTCCTTGCAATTCCCAAGTGCCTTTTCCTCACCTGTACAGTATATATAGGGACTTTTTCGTGTTACATTCGTTCTTGCTTCGGCAGAACATATACTAAAATTGGAACGATACAGAGAAGATTAGCATGGCCCCTGCGCAAGGATGACACGCAAAATCGTGAAGCGTTCCACATTTTTTTGCTTCTCTGCTGCATTCCCTCAACTGGAATTTCCTTTTATCTTTTTTAGCTTAAAATACCTCTGGACGACAGTGAGATTACCACGCCAGCGGGTCTGAACACATGGTTCGACCTGCAGCCCGAGATGCGGCACGAGTGATGTGAAGCATCAAGCCGCGGGGCAGTCTAATCCACACAACAGCACAATCAATCCACTCAACTCAACTCAAACAAGAACTAATCACTTTTTTACCAATTGCACTTGACGCCTTTTGTATTTGTTGTGTATAATTTATGTGTACTATAACCTTTGGTCGGGTCGAAACCAAACTAAAATCTCTTAGTCGTGCCTCTATATTTATAACTATCCATTTATTGTAGTCAAATAAATCGAACTGTGTTTTCAACAAAGCATCATTTCATTTCCATACCTTTACAAGGGCCAAAGGTGCACTTCCTTTCCTTTCCAGCAGGTTCAATACCCACAAAGGATGCTTCCATTTCCAAACTATTAATATTTTTATTTTCTTTTTTTTAATAATATTAATTATGCGTATAGCCCGTAAACTAGTTTTCTTTTATAAATTGCAAAAATTAGGAAAAGGCTAAAAGGAACGCAGATGGTTACCGTGTTTTGTGGAACCCCTTAGAATTCCCAAGTCCCTTTTCCTCACCTTTACAGTATATATAGAGTTTTTCCTGGTCTACATTCGTTCTTGCTTCGGCAGAACATATACTAAAATTGGAACGATACAGAGAAGATTAGCATGGCCCCTGCGCAAGGATGACACGCAAAATCGTGAAGCGTTCCACATTTTTTTGCACATTCCCTGAACTGGAATTTGTTGTTGCTTTTTATAGCTACAAGGAGACATTTCTATCTGTGGACCTGCCACAGCCATGGCTGGCATTTAAACAAGAATTTTGAGAAGAGTGAGAATCTGTCGCTAAAATCATTAAGTGAAATTAAAAAAATACTGTCTTGCACATTGCTTTAAATGTTTATTTAATTTAAATCTTTATTTATTTGCTAACACCCCACAGACATTTTATTTCTCAAACATTGATTCCAATAAATGATGGTTCAAATCCCACCAATGGTGACTATTGTTAATCAATTAATATGAAAATCCAGAAACTATTTTGTTCTTTTTCTTTTTTTATAATAATTTAGATTTTTTTTGTTGGTAAAAGATTTTTTTAGGAATAATAAAAGAAACAAATTAGTTTGTCATAAATAACACTGCTGTTGGGCATTTCCTTCTCTCAAAAGCAAAGCATAGTGAACGATAGATGGGGATACTCAGCTTTGCTCGTAACGAGAATGAACAACAGATGGCGACCGAATTTGTTGGTCTTTGCTTGTAATTCCCAAGTGCCGTTTCCTCACCTGTACAGTATATATAGGGACTTTTTCGTGTTACATTCGTTCTTGCTTCGGCAGAACATATACTAAAATTGGAACGATACAGAGAAGATTAGCATGGCCCCTGCGCAAGGATGACACGCAAAATCGTGAAGCGTTCCACATTTTTTTTCCCATATAAACCCGAAATGATGGATAAATAAAACAGAATTTCCTTAGGGTTTTGCTGCTTTGTAGGCATTTTTTTGTTTGTTTTATTATTTATCATCAATTTGGTATGTATTTTGTATGCGTATATATATGTGTATATAGACAATTGGTTTCGTTTTGACACACATACATCCAACGTTTGTTTATTTAGACATAACATTTATGTTTTTCGCTTTCTTTGAATCTTTGCTTAATATGCATACAAAATTTGCAATTTTCAACACAGTTTTCGTTTTTATTTCATCATTGTTTAGCAATATATATATGTATATATATGTCTGTATGAATATTTGTATAATTTAGATCGATCCAATCCAGAGTTGGAGATTTCGAATCAATGTTTTTTGTTTGTTTTTGGTTCTGGTACTGTGGCCAACGATTTCTTTTGAAAGTTTTGTTGTCTGAATCCGAACCTCTATAAAGTTCATCGAAGAACTTTATAATTGAGTTTGAAATTTGTTTGTTTCTTTTTGTCGTATCATACCTAATGTTAATTTATTTGAAAATACATAATGCACATATATATGTATGTATATACGTAATATATTTCTATGCTTTAAATGGACACATGAATCAGGCTCTTGGTTTTATTTTTATTTTATGTATAAATTTTAGTTCCCAAATTATTATTTCGTTACCGAATCCTGAAACTTTAATTTCGCTTTGCTTTTGTTTTTGTATTTATTTTTTTTTTGAGGTAGTAGTTCGCTTAGTTTCGTTATTTTATTTTTATATAAAAATGGGTTGTTTCTCTGAAGCACATTTATATAAAGCACACACATTTACAATAGCCGTAACATTTATATACATATATGTATCTATGTGTTTTTACTGTATATATTTAATATGTTAAGTATACAATATTAAACACTGAGGAACTGTCGTGCTTATTTCAATGCTCCAATTGCCTTGAATTCTTTGTTACTTTTACTTTCGGTATCGTATCTGTATCTGTATCTGTATCTGTACTTTTCGTTTAGACAAAGACAAACCTAAGATCTAAGCCACATATACATATACCATATATCTTTGCTTGCGCTTGTACTTTGTGTGTGTGTGGATCCACTATCCCCTACTCTCTTTAATTCCTAACTTTTTTTATAATTTTGAATTCTTATCACTTATGTAATGAGGTTAAGCTCCTAAGACATGAGACATTTGAAAACCCTAAATAACTGATGGCCAATATAGTAATTTAGTATTTAATTTTTTTTGTTATAATTTATGTGCGCATATTTGTTGTTTCTGTTTTCGTGTTTAATTTGTTGTAAGCCTAGTTTTAACAGCTAAAATTTGTTTTTGTCCACGTGTTCAGCGCCTAAGTTCTAAGTTTTTAACTTGAATCACTTTGTAATTTGTATTTTCGTTCTTATTCTCATTCATCGATCCGTTTCGTTTCCCATTTCCCTCAGCTAGAATGTAGTTTAATTCCTTCATTTTTGATATCAACTGAACACAACTCGTTAAGCAACAAATAGCAGTTTGAAAAAAGGCTACGAATATGCATATAGTTTGTAGAAAATATAGAACCCAAAGTGCGAGGAACCCGCCTCCGAAAAAACCGCACAACAAATAAAAAAAATCGGAATACAAATATCACAAAATTAGCATCGAAGCAGAGCAAAAGTATTCATAATTATAGTAATAATAAAAATAAAGTAGATAGATTTTAATAATAAAACTCAAAATAAGATTACGTTTTTGTTTGGTGTTTTTTTTCTTCTGTTTTCTTTTTGTATTTTTATAAAAATTAATTTTGGAAATAGCCCGCGAAATGGGGATTTAAACTTGATAAATGATGCGACGACCTAAAGATTAAACTTGTAATTGAAGGTATGGATAATAGAAAAAAACTTAAGACTAAATATTTCATTCTCTGGTTATGGAGAGTTTTAACATCAGGAAAATAAAAGCATAAAAGGAAAATTAAAATTATATCACCACGCATATGTATATAGTATATATGTATATGTTTACAGTATAGTTCTTATAGTATTTATAAGTAAATTAATCAAAAATTCCCATCATCTGGAATCAATCAAAACTTGCATTAACAAAATTGCAAAAAGAAACTTAAAAACTGACAACCAAGGACCATTAAATATATTAATATTAAATTGAATATTGTGTGTAAGGGGGCCGAAACAATTTTGGATTAACGATAAGTGTTATGTATTCATAAGGTATTCATGTGTCTGTTTAAATAAAAGCTCTTTATCCACATTCAGAAAAACCTAAGACCTACAACAGTGAACCAAATTAGATAGATAGACAATGATTATAGCAAAATGTAAAACTTAAACAATTAAATCGCAGTTGTATATAAACCTATTCTCATATATGTTTAAGATTTATAGCGTTCTTTTATGTTAGAAACTGTTTATCCATCCCTAATCCTTCATCCCTTCCTCCCTTATTCGCTAGGCAGGTAAAACTGGTAGCGATTCACTTGCTCTCCATCCATCCATCCTTCCATTTCAGATTCCTGGACAATATTTTTCTCATCTTTCCTTAAACAAAAAAAACTTAATGGCTAAACAAAATTTCGTATTTTTAGTATTTTCTTTCTTTTTGTTTTTAGTTTTTTGTTTTGTTTTCTTTTGTGTGGTTGCCTCTTTCTTTTCGGTTTTTGTTTTGTTTTGTTTCGTTTCGTTAATGTTTCATTTTCAAAAGGAATTTTGTGTTTCTTTTGTTTTTGTTTTTTGGCTCTGGTTCTTCGGTTTTTAAAGGCTTTCATCTGCATGCCATACAAAAAAACATCCAAAGCCCAGGCTCTTTAAATCACAGTTATATATCGGTTATCAATATTATATCACTCCAGCAGAACATTATCAAAAAAAAAAAACATTAAAAACAACATCTATTGTATTTTTTTTGATGAGGGTTTTTTTGGGGGGAGAGGCCATCCTGAGTTCTGTTATCAGTTTTATCAGCGGGACATCTCTACAACGTAAAACTATTCTATTCTTGATGGGCGGTTCGTTAGCTTTTAATCTGTTGTTGTGGTTGTTGTTGTTGGGTTTTTTTTTGGTCTACGATGATTTACGCAGGTCCTCCAGGCCGCCATTGTGCAAGCCGCCGCGCATATTCTCCAGCACTTTGTTCACGAAATCCGTAGAGCCGCCCGCGATGCAAACACCAGCTAATAAAAATATATAAAATGATGAATTCTAAGAAAAATTAAAGGGGAATCGTCTAGTGCTTACTTTTGGCCGTTGTATAAATGCGTGCAATCTGCAGATCCACCTCCTCCGTGGACTCGCCCAGACTTTTGGTGCGATGCTTAAGGGCCAAGGCCTGCTTGAGCTCGGCAATGCCATTGATGAGGCGCTCTGAAAGCATAGGGTTTATGATTTATTAATAAAGTTATGGCAAAGGAATGTCCTATCACGTACTGTGTTCTATTTCAAGGCCATACAGCTTAATTTTGTTTGCCTCATGCTGGGCCTTCTTCTTCAGGCGACAGGCACGGGAGGCCAGCTTGTTCTTCTCCTTGCGCGACTTGGGACGCGAATTGAAGGGCAGCTCCGATACGGGTGTCATGTCGTTGATAGTGCGACTCAGTTTGTCCAGCTCCTTGCCAATGTTGTGCAGTTTTCGGGCGTTCGGTGTCAGGTCATTGCCATCGCCCTTGCGGGCCTTTCCGCTATGCTGAAAAGGGAAAGAAATATCAGTATCGGCTAAAGTTCTTTGGCTTTTAGGGTCCATACCTTGTACACTTTTATGCCTCGCACCGAGCAGGTGGGACTGAAGACGGGATCGGTGACCTCGTTGAGATGATGCGGATCCTCGAGCTTGGATTGGAAGACCAAACGCTTGCCCTTGGGTCCCTTGGCCTGTACATTGTACTGCCAGAAGAAGCGCTCTTTCCCCTTGCTGCTGGACAATTGGTTGGGCGTTGAGGTGCGTGTCTCGTCCTCATCGCCAGAGCCACCGCCGTTGTCGCTGCTAAAGTCGTCGTAGTTGTCGCTATTCTCACTCGAGTTGTCGTCCTCATCGTCCTGCGAGAAGTCAATGCCATCCGGCGACAGGACACTGCCCGTGCTCAGCGATGAGAAGCTCTCGGCCTCGGCCAGCGAGCCGGTAGAGAGTAAATGCTGACGCGGCTCTCGTCGCATCCAAATCTGCTCATTCCCCAGATGGGTGGGCGCCGACGAGCTCAGTCGGCTCAGCTGCGAGTTGCTGCTCTCCATGGAGCCTCCTTGAAAGCCAAACGACTTGCGTACACTGCTAGCCCCTCCGGCCGCCTGACTGCTGCTGCTGCTGCTGCTCGGACCGCTTCCATCCGGGGCAGTGCTGTTCCCGGAGGCGGCACTGCCAAAGCCACTGCTGCCGCCCGGACTCAGGGCGGCCGACTGGCTCAGCATCGATCTTTCCGGCGGCGAAGACATGGGAAAGCCCTTCTTGATGAGATCCTGCATGTTCCGCGACTTGACCATCTGGTACTGGGAGCGATTGGCGTGCGGCGGCGGCGGTGGCGTCAATGGGGAGTGCGACGCTTGGCTGCCGGGCGAGAAGCTGGCCGCCAGCTGCTGCTGCGGCTTCTGCGGTGTACTGTGGTAGATCTCGTAGGGACTAGTGGAGGCACTGCTGTTCGACTGTTGGGTCAGTGTGAGGAGCGTCTGCGATTGCGGGAGGCTGCCGACATGGAACTGGTGCTGCTGATGCTGCTGTTGCTGCTGCTGCTGAAGCAACTCCATGGGTGGTGCCACCAGCGAGTCCTGTCCCTGGGCCCCCTGCGGGGACAACATGAAATTGACACTTTGCGAGACTGTTGCCGGGGGCAGAAAGTCCTCTATGCTCCCAATGACATCCAGAAAGTCACCGCCATTCAGATCGGCCAGATCGGCGGCCTGTATTTCAGCCTTGTCGTTGGGGAAAATGTAATCATCGTCTAGACTAAATGGTTCGTGTTTGGTATGGATAATGGCACTGCTGATATCACTCCACATGGTATTCGAATTGGGCGTCATCTCGTACAGCAGCTCGTTCTGTCCGGCGACGCCGTCCTGCAGCTGCAGCACCTGTTCGCTGACCACGTTCAGGCTGAGCGTTTGGCTCATATCGGGTGCAAAGTAGCCCCCGGCCCCACTGCTGTTGCCGCCGTTGTACAGCGTGGAGTTCAATGGCGATGCAGCACTCAGGCTAACGTCCTGCAGCAATGTGGGCGACAGGGAGGCCGCATCGAGGGCATCCAAACCGAAATCGGAGAGTTCTCCCAAAGCCAAATGCGAGTGCTGCTGCTGCTGCTGTTGCTGCTGCAGCTGTTGCTGGAGTTGCTGCTGTTGTTGCTGCTGCTGCTGCTGCTGTTGCTGGTGTTGCTGGTGGTGGGTCGCCATGCTGGGCAATGTATGCAACGGACTGGGATGATGTCGCGGCGTCTGTAGATCCGGCTGCTGGTACGGATGATGATGGCTCTGGTTGTGATTGTTGCTACGTGGTATGGTTATGGCCGTTGTACTAAGCATTACATTACAGGTATTTGTGGTGCCCGTCGAGCATTGATTGTTGCTACTCCCATAGCCCGTATTGATGGTCAATGTGGGCAGGGCCGCAACGCCCACAACGCTCGATCCCAGGGAATACAGATCGTACTTCAACGTATTACTGCTGCTGTTGGAGCCAGTGTCAAAGAATTCCGATGACATGGGATACAGCTGATTCTCTGTCATCGTAATTGGCCCGAAAGGAATATCTGCTCCGAGTGCGGGGGCTTCTCCGGCTGTGCGCCGGCGCACTGCGACTGCGACTGCGCAGTTCACACTTTACGATGTCTAAAAAGAGAGAGAAAGAGAATGGTGGAGCTAATTAAACGCATACATTATCATCGGTTTTTTATTATGCCCAGCCAGACAGCCTTGGACCACCACATAGCACAGGCCACCGAGCGGGGAGCACTGGCACTGGCACTGACACTGGTTACTGGTCTACCAACTGGCATTTCCATTGGAAATGGAAATTGCTCCAACTCGTAAATTATTGAGACCCCAATTCTCAGTCTGCATTAGCCTTTATGCTAATTCTTATGCAGTTATTATCTGGAGCCGGAACCCCTGAATATTATTGATCACTCACGTGGTCACAATCTTTTGGTTCGAACAAGTGTTGGATTAGATTAAATTATGATTAGAAAAGAAGTAGAAACTCTATGATAAGTGCCAAGCAAGGTCAAAAGTAAGTAGTTCTACTCAAGAGCACGTCCTTGCTCAAAAAGACAGCCCAAGAAAATCGTGCAACAATGAAATGTCAAGTGTTAATCATCTTACTATTTATATTCGACTTGACAAGCGAATGATGCCAAAGAGATTGCCCGAGTTAATATTCATGTCATGTGCATAATTAAATACAATTTTAACAAGTTTCGACCTTTTCAAGCTGGAGTAAATAGTTTCCGTGGTAGCTTTAATACGACAGAAAACTTAAAAAGGTTAAAACTCGTTAAATTAGTATTTAATCATGCACATGACATGTATCTTTAGTTTTTTCCAGTAAATCTCTCTTAAATCTCTACAAGTACAATTCACCTTAAATGTACGTAGAAGAACTATATTTCATTGCCATAATGCCACTATTCCCTGTATTCCAATTCTTAATTTTCTCGCACTAATTCTGATAAATCCTAAATCCCAAATACTAGATGCACTTTTCCATCTTGATTCATGAATTCTTGATTAAATGAAAGCACAAATTATGGTATTTTTTTGGTAAACAAATTTATTTATATTTTTGTTTTGGAACCACCATCGGCTCTTGTGCGAGGCCTTTCACCTGATTTCAAAAACAGCCCACAATAAAATTGCTTACTAATTTTGCCAATAGTTTCCTCTCTCTCTCTCTCTCTCTTTATTGTTTCTTTTTGCGGCACTTATATAGTTGTTATGCTTTTTGTTCGTTTTTTTTTTTATTAACAAAACAAAATTGTTGATGATTTCTCAAAGGTTTTGTTTTCTCTATTTTGTTGTTCACAAAAAAAAAAAAATCTGCAAAGTGTTGGGGTAGGGGAATGGAAGAATGGAGATTATATAGCCGGGGCCTTTGACGTGGTTCCTTTTTTGTTTTGTTATTTAAAGCGATAACAAAACTAAAAAAAAACAAGAAACAAATTGTTGAGTAGGCTTTTGGATTTGCCAAAAAAAACAACAACACACAAAACGAATGTGCTGAATCTCTAGGGTTTCGAAACTATAGAAGATTTTGGAAATAAAAGATTGCTTCCGAAGACAAAGTTCCACATCGGAAGACTACATTGTTCTATATAATTAATCCCCATTGAATACTGGACAGTGTTCAAGTGTGGGTTGCCTCTGCAATAAACTCTCTATCTGGGATCCCTCCATTTTGCTTATCTTTCATCCATTACAGACGATAAGTCAACACATTCCGACTGATAGCGCCTCTCTCTCCCTACCTCCCTCTCTCTCTCGCTTCACGACCATACCATTCCATTCCGATTTGAACTTTGTAACGCTCCCTGCCCGCCCCTCGGCCAGACCAACTGAAGGTCACACGCTGCAAGGGTAAGGAGGGAGGCACACTCGTATCTATACACATGGGAAAATTCTACTTTAACTAAGTGATTGCCTCTGGTTTCTCTGGTTTTTTCTCATTTTTTTGTTCGCTTTACATTGTTGCTGCCTATTGGCTATTGCCTATTTCTATTTCCTTCTGAAATTGTTTAATATTCGTCAAAGGTAGTCGAACGCGCTGAAGGCCAAACAATACTCGTAAAAAAAGCCACACAAAAAACATAGGAACCAGAAACGTCTAAAGGGGTGCTTATATACGAAATTAAATGAGTCTCAAACATACATACATATGTACATACATATATAGAAATAGAAGAGGCAAGGGAATAAAAAAAAAGAATTTATTACAAAAAAAAACCTCAAAAAGAAGACAAGCAAACATTTCAATTTAAGGCGAGAGAAGTGGAAGAGAATATAATGTATAATACTATAAAAAAAAATTCCCAACACACAGACACAACACACTCTCTAAACGCGAAATGTTTGATAGAGAGAGAACTGCTTTTTGGGGGGGAAACGAACATCTGATAACCGAAAAGGCAGAGAGACCAAGTAAATATGAATAAATATTTAATATTATATGTATATCTACTACATCCACAGTGTCATAAAAGAACCCGCTCTAATCAGCTGGAATTGTACATTAAAAGAGCACAGCTATAGCAAACGCGCTGTGGAGGAACAGGGCAGCAGGAGGGAGATGAAAATAGTGATTCCTGCGATGAATTTCACTTTTCACTCGCAGTTTTCAACACAGAAAGGGGGTGCGCTTTTCTCAGAAGATAGTGTAATATGGCCTTGGGCATGACTGTGACCAGTGCACGTGGAGAGGAGCATTTGGTTGGAGCGGGGGTCAAAGTACAAATCTCCGGTCAGAGGCGTGACCAATTACCACTTTGGTAGGGCGTTTACTTAGGTAGAAAAGAGGCAAAGGCAAATGGGAAATAAATCAAAATCAGTTTTCAGCAATATTATAAACACATGTGCCGCTTCTCAAACAATTTCAACACACGATGAAATAATGAAATAACAATAATAGCAATTATAAAAGAAAGCAAAAAAAAGAGGAACAGAGGAATACAAATAAATTGTTAGCGTGGCTTGCTATCAACAATTTATGGAAAAGACAGAGAGAGGGCCTAACCAAAGAGCGAGAGCGAGATTGGGGGAGAGAGAACAAATGTTAACCGAAACTCAAGGTCAAAACTGTTTATTTTTTATATTTTGTTTTGAATGTATAATTTATCGCAGAGTTGCTTTTGTTTTCCACTCAGATACACGCACACACGCGCGCTCCCAAAAGCACACATGTACTCGTAAAGTTGTAAACAAAAACCAGACGCTTGTAAAAAGCTTTCGAGAGCGAGCAGCCCTGCTGTGGGCGCTTATCTCCCCCGCTCTCTCACACTTGCGTGCTCTCGCAGAGCAACATATGTTTTCCGTCTATTTGCTTTTGTCGCCATCTTCGTAGAATCTAGCTATATATAAAAATATATTTTTTTTATATATGAGTATATAGGAGAGTAAGCTTTTTTTTAGCTTTGCTTGACTGACGAGTTTTGTCTGTGGTTGTTACAACAACAAAAAAGCGTGTGGGGAAGCTTTTACATTTCGCCAGAATTTATACTAGATGTGGTCATGTGTGTGTGTGTGTGTGGGGATTTCATGCTTGGGTTTGTTGATTGCGGTACGGCACGGGCATATTTGCACGATTGTGAAACAACACACAATACTATGGAAGAAACACGAGGAAATGTGACCAGAAAGTAGAACCCTATGACTGTACTTTAAAGATCTGTGATCAGGATATACATATGTATACTTTACAGGTCTATGATCTTTTCATGGTGCTATGCCTTGCTTTGATCAGCTGTTTCTTACAGAGTTGCACTAAACCCTCCTGAATTGTATATTCTCCCTTTCCTTTGTATCAGTTAACTGTTTTGTTATTTTACGTCATGTTTCAATTATAAGTCTATGATCACATTTCTGTACTGGAACTCTATCGATAACTGCTTAACGCTGAATCACATTCTACAACTTTTGCCACCCCCTTGCTCTTGATAACAATATTATTATACAGCTCTGCGAAAAATTCAAAACAAAACAAAAAAGTTCACAAAAAAGTTCACAAAAAAATTAAAATAAAAAATAACCGTTGCCCAGAAGGCGGCAACTTCCGTTTCGCATTATCAATGGGTCAGTGGCAGTGGTCAATGCCTGATGATGGGGGATGGAATGGGATGGGGACCTACACATAGGTGGCACGCTCTATCATTACCATCTTCCCGCCTCTCTCTCTCTCACTCTCTCTTCCTCTCTCTGTACGATTTGTTTTGTTATTGTCAACATTCGTCATCGCCGTCACATGTTCCGACTGCATCCGTTCTGTCTCTCTTTCTCCGTCTGTTCTTTGTTCTTGTACATTTTGTGCAAGTCACCTTTATTCTTTGTGTCATGCTCTTTGCTCTAATTTTAGGCACACCCCCGCCCCCCTACACGCATCTTTTGCATGCACCTCCCCCACCCCTACCCACACACACACACGCACACATGTTTTTATGTTGAGGTAGCCCCAACAGAGCAGAGCAGAGCCAAGTGCAAGTTCCTTCGATTTATTTTTAGTGTGCAAAAAATAGACACAAAAAAATGTTACGGCCAGAGCAGGAGGTGTTGGGTGCGGGTGCACGTGTGGGGTATTTACTCGATTTGATTCCCCATAGTTTTCATTTACATTTTGGTATTTTTTTTTGTTATATATTTAAGAATGTTTTAGCATAGCTTGGGCAATTGATGATATAACACGCTCTGTAGCGTTCGCGTTCGGTTTTTGTTTTGCTTTTTGCCTTTGCTGTCTTATACTCGTACTTATTATACAAACAGCTGACGCAAATTGTAAATTTGCTGTTTTCGATGGAGGAAGGAAGACACGCAGAGAGAGAAACAGATCAGGGAAGTGTGGCATAGAAGCTTGTATACATATCGACTTTGAACTTTACAAAAAGACTTTAAATTTCATTTTTGATCTTTTTTTTTGGATTCTAAGAACAGCTGGATATTCCTATGATATCACATTGAAGCAGTATATTTAATAATTGTGTCATCACCCCTTTAAATCGGAAAATCGCGTATGAATCGTTTTTCATTTATTTTTTTCTGGTTGTCTATAAGGATTATTGTAAATATTTTCTTAGAAAGATGACAAACTTTTGGGGTCACAACTTGTTTAGTATTTTAAAAATTATAACAGATAAACCGCTAAGATTTGTATAGTAAAAATAGATAATTCGTGCCATTTCTCAAATAGTATAACACCTAGAAATCCAGTCAAACTTTTGAGAATGGCATAGAGAGATTCATTCCTAGGAAGCACCTCATAACAAAGAGGAAAGACTGTTCTTTCAAGAGTAGGAGAACTGCTAAGCCACTCTGGAAGAGATAAAATCCTCCACAGCATCATCACAACAGCGAAATGAAACCACAATCAATCGATAAAGTACAAGATGTTTGCTTCCCCACTGATTCGCTAATAGATAAATAATTAAAATCAATTTATATCGATTTAGCAACATATTTGTACAGCACACAAAGGGAAATTAGCACAAGTCGGCTGAAAAGTTAAGCAAATATATGGGTACATGTGTGTATGGGAGGATCTCACCCTCTCTTTCTGTATTTTCTGTCTAGAAATCGTGACTTTAAAGACGGGGCAGACAAATAGCAGTGCAATTGAAGAGGAGATCAGCAGCCCGTCGTCTGATGCTGATTCCCTCGGGGAGGCGTGGAAGAACACGTGAGCCGTCCAGACTGGCGATTCTCTCGCCCTGCTTATCGACCAGACCCTCTACAGAGGCGTCTGGCTCGTCAGCTGTCGTCGTCCCGCCCTCTTATCAGCCCACAGCCGCGTGCCGGACGAGCAGCGACAATGGGAATTGATAAGTAATACGCTCAATGGGTCAGAGGCACTTTGCAAATTCTGTTTCGTACCACAAAACATTTGAACTTATCTTATCGTTCGCTTCGAGATAAACCCAACCCAAAAAGATGGAAAACCTATGTTTATATTCGCAACAAAATGAAAAAAAATTTTCAGTTCCGCCCCCTCCGCTGACAACAATCTTTTATCGACAAAACGAGAATAGATTTTTTATTCCTTCCAGGTATTGACCCAGAAAAAAGGGCTTTGCCTACAAATCTGTATCTGTACATTGTATCTGTGTGTGTGTGTGTGTGTTTTTTTTTTTTTTTTTTTTTTTTTTTTATTGGGAAAACAATATTAACAATAGTGGGTGGTGGGGGGGGGGGGGGGGGGGATGGGTTGTTGGGAATGGGAATGTTGATGGTAGTTCCGCTCCCGCGGGACTGCCGCTAGGCATTACTTCGCGGTGCGGAGCTTGGTGTCTTCTATGTGTGTGTGTGTGTGTGTGTGTGTGTGTGTGTCCACAATTCCTGGGGGTAAACAAATAAAGTAAAGTCCCATGTGAGTCACAGAGGCAGAGGCAAAAGACAGGCGTACAGTAGCAAAAAAATTAACAAAATTTGTATGCTTATAAATAAAATATTTTTTTGTTGAAGAAATTTCAAAGAAAAGCAAACAAGTTTGCTTAATGGCCGCATCCGCAGAACAGAACAGAGCACAGCCTCTGAAAAAAAAACTTCGCCTCCCAGCAGCGCCGGCAACAAAGAAAGTTGAAGGCCATCAAAAGCAAATGACCGTATATAGAATATATAACAAAATAATATAAAATACACAAGAATACAGAAAATGTAATTTCGATTGAGTACAGCTGTTTTAAGGGCGATCCATTTGCCTAATGATGCAATAAACCCAGCTTGAAAGATCATCTCTGGAATCGGAAATAGTATAAATAGTATACTGATACGATCAGATATCCCGCTGTAGATTCTAGAACCTGTTATGATAAGGAACTACTGTTTGATATGATGGCAACAAAATCTATATGCATATACATATATGGATATTAATCTGCTTCTGATTGATAGAGAAGTTTCAAACGATTTGTCAATCAATTTATGCAGAGTTTCAGGATACATTTGAAGTACTATTTTGCTTTAAGATATGCAAACAATTTCTACACGATGTCTAAACAATTGGCAATTATTTTTCAATTTAATTTTATTCTATTGTCCATTCAATGATTCACTGAAAGAAACATAAGGGCACTCCATAGAGACCTTGTGAAACCTCTTGGGGTCTTTTGGGGTTCCTGTTCTGCACATTTCTGGACTCCACAATCAACATCCTAATCAGACGGATAATCTCTTCCCTGTCAGCACTGCCCTAATTTATATTTTTGTGTATTTGTTTCTGTGGCGAATTATGGGGCCTCAACCATTCTTATCGTGCGCTCAACTGTTGAGTCATTGAGCGCGTTACCCTACCCAAAATTTCAGCATCCAATGCTTTCCAGAGCTGAAAGTTTACCCTCTCCAACATTGTGGCGCCTAGGCAACAAAGGGGCTCTGTTGGGGTTCAATTCAAAACTGGCTGTGGAGGTAGGGGAGCCCAACATATGGGCAGGTTTTAGGCTGGTTTTTTTGGTATTCGCTTAGAGACACACGGTCAACACTAACAGTTTTCAGCCTTGAATTTTCGCACTGACACTGAACCCAAAAAAAGCAAAAACCAAATCGAGCCAACAAAATTCAAATTGAAATCAAACTTAATTTAATTTTTGTTGATTTTCTTTTGTTTCCTGTGTGTTTTTTGCTAAAAAAAAAAGTATAGATGGAGAACCTTCTCCAGCCTCAAAAGTACTTAAGGATTGAGAGATTTCATTTCTGGTAGCTTGATAGATCCCAAGAAAAAATATAAAAAGTATTTTTTTGTGCGCAAGCCTGAGCTCTGGCCTAATGGCCTCTTGAACGAGGCCTCTCTGTTCCCGATACATAAATAAAACTTGAGAGAATGTTTATAGTTTATAGTTTATAGTTTACAGGCGAGGCTTATGTGTTTTTGTTGTTGTTTTGATTTAGATCGGTTTCGGTTTTTGTTTGGTCTCGCCTTACAATGGGTGGGAAGGGGGGAAAGACTCTGGTTTTCGTTTTCTATTTCGAAGGAATGTTTTAATTGGTTCGGAGGGGATCGTAAATTACAAAATGTGTCAGCTTAGTGGGTGAGGGAGGCATCAAATTTGTAAGAAAGTCAAGACTTATCAGAGGGTTTAAGTTGTATAATTTTAATGGGGCACAACACCGAAGTATTCGAATTACACGAGTCTAAACTCAGCATTACAATGTTCCCAATGGATCTCTTAGCTCTGGCTTATTTTTCCCCCATTTCCTCTCGCTGCCCTGCCTCCGCTGCTGTCAGAAAACCAGATCTTTTTGATAGCCCATCATTTTTAATGTTTGGTTTAAATTTTTGTTAATTTCATTGTTGATTTCTTTTCTTTTTGTGAATTATTCGGGTCGTTCGTTTAATCTTTCAACATTTTTTTCCTATAAATACATATATACACACAATTTTCGTATTTACCAACCTTATATATTCCTCTTATTGGTTTTTGGCACCTCGTTGGTTTATAAACAAGACCGGAAAAAATATGTATTTGGTGTTGGTTTTGTTGTAAATATCGTTTATATTACTTCCTTGATGTTTTGTTAATTAATTGAAATTGTATTTCGGTTAAAGTGTTCACTCGCTTTTGTAATAATTAATTATTATGCATGGGCACACGTACATTAAGGAGGGGGAGGGCCTCGATTATACATATGTATGTAAATTTCATTGTTGCTTGTGTATTCTTCAGTTTTATTTGGTTTCTCTCTTTATAAAACTGGGTCACACATGTGGCAGAGATTAAGACTGAAATTTATTTATAATGAAGCACATTAGCACGACGCCAACTGCACATACTACTATAATCATAACACACAGAACTTAGACGCACACTTTTGTATGAATTTCTTGATAAGTAATTCTTATCATCGCGTCCGTCAGTCACTTGTATATATTTTCGTGAAATTTTTTGCTTTGTTTTCCGCGTTTCGATTTTTGGAAATTACTGGCAAAAATCTACAACAATTTTCATAATATTTTCGTTTGTTCTTGGCGTTTTGTTGTCAATTTTGCTGGGTACCGACTGACTCCACCAGCTGTGCGATCTGATGTGATTGAGGGGGAAGAAATACCGATTGATGATCGCGAGAGAGAGAGCGAGAGCTTTGCGCTCGCGTTCGTGTGTTGCTCGGCGACGTTCGGGCTGTTGTTTGGAGTAGGTAGTCGTGTGTGTGTGTGGGTTGGGATGTCGGGTTGCTTCTAAAAAGAATTCATATACATATGTACTCGCAGGCACACACATGTATTTATGTACGTTTTTGTGGACAAATTCCAAAGCATGCATCAAGTTTGGCAGCGTTTATGTTTGTTGGTTTATTTATTTATGCAAATTAGTGGGTTTTTATATCGACTTTTGCCTCGGGAAAACTAGTTCGAACTTTTGTGTTTAAATAAATGCTGCCCACAGATTGAGCGCGCGTTTTTTTAATTGCTTGCTAATTGAATTATGGACCAGCAAACTATTTACATTTATTAATTTTTGTTTGCTTTACTTTATACAATTTTAATTGTTTTCGTTCTTCACACTCTTTCTTCCGTGTGTGTGTGGAATAACAGCACGCGTTGAACAATATAAACTGTTCTTTTTGTACACTGTTGCTTTTTGGTTCCCTATTATTTTTTTTTTGTGTGGTTCTGCGCTCGCCTCGTCAAACGTTCTGTTCTTGACCGATTGATAAAAAATACACAAAGCTTCGCGACAAAAACCAAAAGCTTGCCGCTTTGCTTTTGTTTTGATTGTGTCCACACAGCGAGCAAGCAAGAGAGGGAGAGAGAGTGTAGCTTTGAATGCGCATGACACACACACACACACATATAGGCAGCGTTGTCTGTTGCTTCTTTCACTTCCACTTTTCCATTCGACTGGCTATATGTATGCCGGTTGAAGCAAGAGCGGGAGCATGGGCGGGGGCGGCTGCGGTGTCGGTCGCGAGTTAGAACCACAAAATAAAGCTCCGAGTACAGTCAGTATTTTTGTTGTTGCTTTCGGTTTTTATTATTCTTCTGTGCATTTGATTCTTGAGCAAAGCTCTCTCTCGCTCGCTCTTTTGACGTCACTTTTGTTGTTTACTTCGGTTTTATTTCCTTTTCTTGCTCATTGTCCACGGTATTCGTAGGGTAAAGGGTCTAAGGTATTGTGGGAAGTGTATGTAACAGCCATCCCATAAATCACCAAAAAGATCTAATAGTTCGCACTAAACGATACTTTGCAGGTATTCCTGCCGCACTTCCTGTAGTATCTTCATTTTTCCATAAACAAAATGGATACAGGATTCCATTTCTACCTGTAAGGTAACCCCACTGTCGACTATCCCCCATTCTAAAGTGTTTTCTTTGTTATTTCTCTGTTTTTTCTAGTGGCTGTTTTTGTTTTATGCAAATTTTTGTTATGAAATTGTCTGGTGCTTTGATTCTGATTCTTTTTTTTTCGCAAATGTAAAAATAAAACTTGTTTACAGCATCGGAATGAATACAACAATAAATGTATCTGTATCTACAAATACAAAATGTACACAGTATTTATATGTAGTTAAGAAAAGTGCAAGATAGAACCGATTCTATAGAAAAAGCAAACGTTTTTAACCCCTGACGATGCACTTTTTTCCCTCTCTCTCTGAATTCCTTATTTTATTAGTTTGTTTATAAACAACAAATGCTCAACAATCAACAGCAACAGCAACAACAATATCAATTCTTTTTATCGGTTTTATTTCTCGCATTTTGTATTTGTATATTTGGCTTTTTGTTGCTTCTTTTTCCTCTTTATTAAGCGATTGGTTCTAGTTGCGTTTTTTTTTTAGGGAGGAGGTCGGTCTCGGTCTCGGCTGATGCAATCTGTCATTTTTAGAGTGTAATTCAACACTGCAAAGAGCTTGGCTTGCAATACAGTAAATAAATAAAGACCCTTTGGGGTTGGGTTTATTTTGGTGCCTTTTTAAAACCATCTAAAGATTTTAATTATTTCTTATGAAAAGTACAATACATTTTCTATACAAAGATACATAAAAGTAAATTTTCAATAATTCATTAATAAAAGTTTTTCTGGTTTATTTTTGTATCTGTCTGACATAAAAATGCAACCCTTACTGCTAAGCTACTCTGTGTGACAGCCTGGAGCCCGCTAAATGTATGGGCGTTACTCATCTTTCTATTCATATTGTCTTTCGAGTGAGAGAAGGCGCGAGGCAGGCAACCGATCGTAATCAGGTGCGATAATTCCTAACGATAGTCCACTATAATCGAAGCAAGTTTACTTCAAAAATGTATAAACTTTAATCCGTGATCGAAATTCCCCAAAATAAAGTCGGTTTTCCATAAAATTAAGTTCTTTCCATAAATATTAAAGAGGAACAACGGATGGCATGTGGGAGTAGGGAATAATCCCATTCTAATCGAGGGGAAAATAACCAACTGACGCACGGAATGTATTTTTTTATGTTATTTTCGCCCCCTTCCCCCCTGCAGTCACGGAAAATCACGACAATATCCTTGAATGCGAAATTGCGACATAAGCAATACGCACACACAGCCAAGAGCCAGTAGCACTAGTAGAGGCCACGTCCACGGCCTTTTCAGGGATACATAGGGAGCACCAAGGATAACAGTCAAATCCCACGCTCAATCTACTCAAAAACAGACACGACACCCAACCCACAGCACAACATGCATACATATATGTATATGTATATGTATCTATGTATAAGTATGTATGCGGCGAAATGTGTTAAATGATTGTCAAGGACGTGGGTGGCTTGGTTATTTACAAAATATTCTCGATATGCCTGACAGCTACAGCGTGGGAGTGTACACTGAAGGAAAACTCAAACGATAAAAGATCTACAACATCCCACCATATTTTCCAGTGTAAAATACTTATATGTACATGGAACATCCATGAGGGCCTGAAAAGCCAGTTCGGGTTTCGTAGGGCTTGGCCCTAAACCGCGCTCTCTGCTCTCTCTTATCGACGCACTTTCACTTTCTCTTTTTGGGTGAAAGGAAGTTCAAGGCAGTGCAAAGCTTTCAAAGACCTTGAATAACGGCTGTTGTGGGCGTTGTCCTCCAGGCCCTTTACAATTTATGCTGAGGCGCGGACTTTTCATTCCGTTTGTTTTTTACCTAATTTGATGGCGTGACAAAGCATAAATATCTATTAATTAATTAATTTGGGGGCCAGCAGGCCTCAAAGCTCCCACCGCTGGGGAAAAGCTCTTCTGGCAAGCCTTTCCCTAAGACTCTTCGGGGAATGGGGGATTTTTGATTCGCATATTGTTTTTGTTATGAATGTGGAGAAGCATAACAAAATGCCAATCATAGCAGACTCTCAAGGACACTCGACTGGTCGAGGGGCGGTCAGGGTGAGGCAGAGAAAGCTACACAGACAGAGAGAGGGAGAGAGAAAGTAGAGACAGAGGTGGTAGGTGGTAGGTGGTAGGTAGGTGCCATCGTTTGCTTATGGATACATCCTTCTTAGCCTCAATTCTGCGTCGTAATTTTCCATCATTCCCTCTCCCTCCCTCGCTCTCTATATAGCAACCCCTATGGGGAGGTGTGCGGTGTGCGTGGGGGGCAGCCGGCGAATGTGTACACAAAGCTCGTTAGTCTATATACTGATGCCGCAGCAGTCCTTTCAAGACTCTCTCTCGCGCTCCCTCTCTCTCTCTCTCTGCCTCTTTATAGACGTTGTTGTGACGCGTATCGATTTGTTTATGTTTATCATAAGGAAATTGGCACAAGAGGCCCCCTCAGACGTACCAAAGCGGGGGAACGGGTGGGTTCTGGCTCTTAGCAATAGAAATTTTAACACTCTCATTCTCTTTTTGCTTGTAGCTTGTATTTTCTTTTGTTTTCGGTGGAAAATAGGAAAGCCTCCCCCTTGATAATTCTTAGAATTTCGCTTTTATCAGGTAATACAAGGCCGGGTATCTGGGGTAAAGGGATTGTAGGGGTTTTTCCCAGTATTTTGCTTTGAAATTGGAACTATGGGAATATTAATAAGTCTCTTAATAAACTGTAAGTTACAACAAAAATTTTTAAACTTAATTTTAAAAACTTTTCTGTTAAGTAAATTCTTTTTTGAGAGAACAATTTAAGAAATCTCTAAAAAAAAAATTTTAATTACAAAAATGGTTTAAAACTTAATTTTAACAACATTTCTGTGTGAGGAAATATATTTTTATACTTTAAAAAATCTCTAAATAAACTTTAAATAAAAATTGTTTAAAAATGCAATGTAAAAAAATCTTCTTAAGAACTTTAGACTTTATCCTCTGCTAGATGTACGCGTTAAGAAGCGGTTCAACGTGCCGCGCGTCTTGCCACAGCGCCCCTAGGTTGGATTGCTTCGGTTTTCGTGTCGCTCGTCCTTATAGAAATATTATCAACATTGGTGGAGCATTTTTCCAGAATTTTTTTAAAAACTACACTCATAAAACATTTTAAACAGTAACAACATTTGAATTTTCAGCCAAAAACCGTAGGCCATATGTTGGTTTTGTTTCCATAAAATATATATCTCAACATATCGTCTTGTAAAAAATATGAGTATAGAGAGAACATAAGAAACCTTAAATAGGCAATACATATGTACAATATTTTGCTCAAGATTCTCCAATAAAAACCAGTCAAAACATTTATGTCGAGGCACACGTGGCTCTACATTAAGATACCCGCTTATCAGTTCCTATATATCGACATTTATTTCAATAAATCTAGGAGTAAGCGCTAAATATGCTAAAACAAGTTGTTATTAAACTCTCACTGGGATAGACCCAGTTTATACGTCACCTTCTAACTGTTACCTACATTTATACGGCTATAATATACCCCTTCCCTTTACTCTAAGAGTACCGATGAGCTATTTCCCTGAACACTTAAAATCAGGGAATGCTCACATGCACTTTGCATGTGATTCAAAAAACAAAAACAACAACAAAAAAACATTTAACAATATTTTCTTGATTTTCTTATTTCGCTTTTCCCCCTCGCCGCACTTTTTGCTGATTTGCGAAAACGCCGTTCACGACGTTCATTGGCCCCAACAAAGTACAACGAAAATCTGATAAAATAAAGCAGCCAAAACCCACAATATTTTCAGCAACTAAGCATTTATTATTATACACAGTATATCGGACCATACCATAGAGCTGCAGAGGCATTGACTTTGTTTCCCACCCAAAAAAATGAGAGAAAAAAAGACCAACTCAAGTCAAGTTCAGGGCCAATGCATGGGGCT